CTCCTCCTCCCCCCTTCCACACTGAATTCCGAGACATCCTTGGCATTCCCCCTTTAAACTTCCTGGCCATTTCCCTCGGCCAATCAACACAAGTCCTTAAGGCACGTGCTACCTGGGCCAGGTGTGCATCCCCTACTCCCTTCCCCAGAGTTCCTTTCAGTGCCCTGAGGAAGCACCATTCATTCAGGACTCTGACTGGTGCGTCCCCCTTGCCTGTTTCCCCAGCAGTCTGGTCTCTCCAACACCTGCTGGGCAGGTTTCCTCTGCTGCAGTTCCCTCAGAGAACTGGGGCAGTACCGCTTATTTGGTCTCTGCCGGGAGAGTCCCATGCATCCCAGCAGCTTTCCCCAGCATGCCGGGTGGCGTGGTGTTCCTGGCCCTGGCTGGGTAAGTTTCTTGTTTGTGGTTTGCTGCCAGTGGGTCAGGATGGCATCATTCATCTAAACTATGCTGGGAATGATTTTGCCTGGCCTGGACCCTCCTGCAGTGGTCTGATAGGGCCACTTCCCAGCCCCTGCTACAAGGTCCCAGAAGAGTTTTCAGTAGGCACTTGACAAATCTAGTTCATGATCCCACTGCAGAGTCTGTGGCTTTGATTCAATTCCATGTCTTACAGCAGAAGCAGTCAAACACTCAAGACCCCATGCAGTCCTGTCCTTTCCCAGAAAGAGTATCCCCCCACACTCACACACACATTCTCCCCTCCATTCCCTGAGGGAACACATACTAACCTGGTCCCTATCAGTTCATCACCACCAGCTGCTGCATCTGGGCACGTTGGTGGTAGCACAGTTTGCAGGAAGCTCACAGAGCCTCCAGAATGGGAAGGTGTGAGGCTCAGAGCTGAAAAGATCCTTCTCATTTCCCCCTGTAATGGGGGGGGGGGGGGGGCCTTCTTGGAGCTGATTTTCCTGTGGCCCGCCCACCTGTTTCTGGGCTAGCTACCCGCCTGCTCGCCCACCACACCTCGATTAATTAATTGATGTTAATTAAGCAGGAGGCTGCCCATTTCTTGCCCTAATGCCAAGGGGTGTTATCTGCGGCTCTGTTCCTCCCCTACACCGCGGCCCAAGCCTTGCAGATGACATCCAGCTGTTGTCAATATTACTGGCCCCACACTGGGCCCCCGAATCCTGCTATTTGAACCCCACCTGGATCCCTCCATTCAGGTGGCCTGTGCCACCTTCATTCCAGGCTGCATAGCTCCCTGAGCTGCTTCCCCCTTACAGGTGTTTTCCCCCCAGGACCTTTGGCTCTACTGGCCCTGGCCCACCTTCAGGCCAGTCAGAACCCCAGGCCTTCAGCTCTGGGCATCCCTCGCGGTGGGCCCCTGGCCCTTTGACCCTTCTGGTCCTGGACCCAGCATGGACCAGTCAGGGGATGTCAAGACAGGTGGGAGTCTATGGACCCACTCTCTTGCAGGGTCCACCTTCCAGACCCTACAAGGGGGTAACCCACCCAGTTGTGGGAGCTAGGGTTAAGGCATCCCAACCTGCCTTTCACTGGGGTGGTAACTGGCCTGGCATTTCCTAAGGGCTCCCGCACCACTGAGAGCCCCACCAGGCCACCCACTCCCAGCAGGGTGCAGTTTTAGGTCATGCCCAGGACCAGGAGCCTCCTGACCATCCCCTACAGCTCCTCCCTTACCTCCAGATGATACCTGCAGCCAGGCAATGTTGTTACCTAGCTTTCCAGCAGCAAAATGCCCTGTTTATATGGGCAGCCCCGAATCCAAAATGGCTGCCCTAATCAGGCACCTGCTGGCTGCTGTCTTCTGGCCCTTAAAATGGCAGGAACAAACAGTGCCCTGCCACACACCCCAGTCTGTAAGCAGAGGAACCAAAGACAGAAACTGAGGGCAATGGGCAGCAAAGCTGCACTCAAGCAGTGTTATGTAGGCAGAAAAATCACTCAGGTCCTCAGATAGCAAGCTCTGAGTCATTAGAAACTACAATGGATATGATGTCTATAGGTGTCAGGTTATCGTATCAGAGAGATGTTACTTGAGCTAGATTATCACACTAAGTTGTATCCCTGACCTTGTATCCCTGCCAAAGCATGTTATACCCTTCCAGGACTCAAGCATCTCTTGAGGATCCATTTCCTACAGAAAGAAC